TTCAGAAAACAGGTAGTTACAAAACAACACTTCTCCAGTCTGTGGATGAGATGGTTGAAGAGGAGAAGAGAATTCTTCTTTGCGGTTTGCCTCTGCTCTTGTTATTTTCATGAGTGTATTTACACTGAGGTAAGGCAGGCAGATAAGAGCGCTGCGATATCAGTGGTGTTAATGGGCTGCTTTGATGTCTCCTCCACAGCAAACATCACTGCAGCGTGTAGGTGGATGTGAGACTGATTGTGTAGTGCAGCATGTAGCACATTACTTGTTTTTGTTTTTTTTATTGTCAGAATCCGGGCCAGGCCGTGCATATGCACATATGCAAATATTTGCAATGAAAGCGTCCCGAATGTTTGGCTGGTTGAGTCGTTAGCATGCACCAGGCAAAAACAAAATCAGTTAAATGTCAGATTTGTTTCTGAGAGAGTAGAATGTCATGCTTGCTTGAACTGTAGTTTTTTTTTTTTTTTTGAGACTATTATCATGTGAGTAGCGTCTCAGTACTGTTTGAATATACGTTTTTGCAATGATATTAGTTGTAATATGTATTAGGCAATGCTAGCAGATAGTTATTCATTTTTGCCATTACTCATTCTTTGATGTGTAATTCAACACTATTGCAGCCTATCAACACACTAAAATGCACTATGAACATCTTAGCAACACCCTGGCAGCAATCTATGACATAATTTCCTATGTAAAATAAATAGAATATTTTATAATTTAATTTTGGTAGTTTTGAAAGCTAACAAATATCTAATATTGTTTGCTTTAAATATAAGTGTGCGTTCCTCTGCTTGTAAACAAGGTGCAGTGTATTCGTGTTCTACGTCAGAACGCTGGCTATGGGTTTGAAACGACATGAGGGAGAGAAATTAATGACAGAATATTCCTTTTTTGGTGAACTAACCCTTTAAATTTTGTCGATCTAATTTTGACAGATAGGTCAAAGATATATTCCTAGAATGGTTATTAATAAGTGCTCTGGTAATCGTAGACAAGCTTCAGTACACCACTCTGTATTATTCTGATAAATGTATGTTTATCATCAGCAAAAAAATAAAAAATAATGAAATTGGCAATAAAGCGGCCTCTTCAGAAGTTTTTGGTCTGGTTCTCATGAGAGCACTTGGAGATTTGGTTTGGTACTCAAACTGCACATAGTGTGACTCATTAAATATAACTATAAAAATAAAATAATTATTAATAGTGATAATAGTATTATTGCATTTATTTATTTTGTATTTTAATAAAATAAACAAAATAATCCATTTGAAAATACTATTATATTTAAAAATAATTTGAGTATAGAATAAAAATTCAGTTAGTTTATAGTACACTTAAAAATACAATGCTGATATTAACTTTTTAAAATTAATTTTCATTATTTTCAAATCTAAAATCAGCAAGCTTTTATTTTGGCGGGTTGCTAGTAAGTATATGCGTTGCCGGATTTAGCGCTGCCGAGTGAAGAGTGTAAGTGAGAAATGGCACAGTTTTGCATTTTGCTTTGAAACCAGCAGCGCATTGCCTAGATTTATGCTTTCAGTTTGAGGAAATCTTATACAATATTACAGTTAGTCGATCTAAAACAGTGATTGAGCATGAACAGCTGTCAACAATGTTGGTACGCAAATGAGCGGTCTGAACATATTTATACATTGCATTTTTTATTTTGGTCGCACACCCCTTATGTGCACCCCTGTATAATGTAGCCTATGTGTGACTGTGTGTGTGTGTGTGTGTGTGTGTGTGTGTGTACATGTGGATATGCATTATAAGCATGTGGATTTAGTAGTTCGCTTCAATTGGTTAAATGTGTTTAAACGCATTACATTTGCTCTTTTTATTGATTCATTCTGTAATTCATCTATAAATCAAGTCCAGATAGGATGTTTAAGAAAAGTAAAGTCATTTGCACTCTTTGAATTGCATAATTTTATTATTAAAGCTGACGAGTATGAATTATTGTATTTTTGTACAAACAATGAAAACCATCAGATAACAGCGGTAAAAACATCTGACAAAATCTCTCCCACTGCAAAAACGGCATTGTTTAGGAAACACTGGTATGCAATATCAAGATTTCAAATGTAAGCTCTTCATTGACTTTATACTGGTGTGACAAGTTTTTTTTGCACTCCACAATGCACATGTATTTTGTAAGCCAACACCATTTTTCCCCTTTTATAAACGGAATGCATCAGCTACAAAATAGTTAAGAGATTAATTTCAAATTATTGATATTAAATTATGAAACTGCACAAGTTTCATGTTTATCTTTCCAAGTTCTGAATTTATGCCAAAACTGAGGTAAACCAAAATTTGGTAATTGAACAAACCATCAACAGTTAAATTTATAGTTAGCACATAGTCTGTTGTAGGACTGTGTTGTGAAGAGCTCGGTTGAGGAAGCCGGTGGGAATCCTTATGTAAATGCAAAGTTCTTGTCTATCTTTTGTTGTGGCTCTCGTTGCTCTGATGTACAGCGATTTGCCTTACACCATCACCGCACCGCCTCTAACCTACTTTCCTTTTCCCGTAAAGCCTGTGAAATAGATGCTACTACCTGTGTGTTACCAGCAAGCCTCTGCCACCCAAACACACACATACACGCACATCACATGACCTTCCTTCACCACAAGCCACAGGTAGAGGATGAGCACAGAAGGGACCAGGCAGAGAGGTCGGGTGTGTAGATCAGGATTTCAAACAGGTCCTTGCGCAGATGACAGGAAGTATGAAGTTTATGTAGTGCAGAGATGAAGGGCGAAACCGCCACCGTATTAGAAGCTTCCTCTGTTTTCTCATTATACGATTTACATACTGCACAACAAGCAGGGTGCATGTGTTAGTAAAGGCACACCTGCTGCGCAGTTTGCTGGAAACGCACCTGTAGCCTGGTGGCATGCTTTAGCGACTCCATTTTGGGAGATTAAACAAGCACAATTCAGCGTTTCGGCAAATGCAGCTTGGTCATTTGGGTGGGTTGAGGTGACAGGTACGCTCACATCAGTGCAACATACATCAGTCTGATGTCACAGATCTGTTGTTTTGATTAAAATGATGTCACACATATATGAGGGGATGCAACGCATGTCATACGACCACGCTTTAGCCTTCAGTAAACCCCTAGACGTGTTTTTATATATATATATATATATATATATATGTATGTGTGGCTTGTCTTGACAGCAGAGGCACAAAGAGTGAGGTCATCACAAAGGCTGATCAGCTGCCTTTTATCTAGTCCTTTCTCGTAAATAGCTCAGTGTTGACGATATACTTTGCACTTTGAATAGAATTCACTCATTAAGTCTGTGACCACAAGCAGACCACAGATGGCTCTTTTTTTTTTTGCAAGTGTGGCGTCCTACTGAGTGCTCCACTTCTCAGCTGCGAGCGCATGTTCTTCGCACCGTGTCACTGTGACCTGTTGTGGTTCTGTTTTTTTGTCGAGAGTTGTTTTTAACTCTTGTGCTGCCAGACACCTTATGTTCCTTAAAGCTGCTTTCTAAACTTGAAGAGAAACTGTAGATGGAGAACATCATTTCACATATCGAAACAGTAGAGGTGGGTTCTTTGAATCCTTGCAGGCGTTCTTTGAAAAGCAGACCGAGTGGTTCAGGGTGCAATAGTGCAACTGTGAGACCATGAGCAGGTGATTGTTCACAGTGTTTTCCTGCTGTTCTGAGAATGAACAGCTTATCTCTTGTGCGGTTGTCGTAAATGAGGTTGGGGGTCCTTTTGTGTTATGCCCAACAGCACTGCCTAGTGCTTGTCACGTCGTGTGAGTTGTTGGAGCTCCTCGGAAACATCACTGCTGTCCGTGCTGCACTTACCATGCGTGTCCTCAACTGTTTGGCAGCTGTTTCCTGTCTTAGCGGGTTCTTGTTTCTGAGAAGCCAGAGACTGTTTTCCTTTCACTGCTTCTTTAAGTTCTGCAGACGTTGTAAAAGCAGCTATTGCTGTTATCCAAGATGGTTTATGTGTGTATATGTTGTGCCAAGACCAAGCAGCAATACGTTTATTATGTGTAGGCCTATTTATGTTTTATAGGAAAATATTTGAAAACATTTGTAGAATTTTATTTTTAATAGAAAAAGTTATGGATTGTTTATATATTTAAATATCACAATTTGCATATTTAAATATCGAATAAAGCTTATTGATGTTTAAAAGACAAAATTTCTGTTTCCTCTAAACTGTGAATTAGCTTTTAAAGTACTTTCTCTAGTTGGCATAGAAAAATAAAAAAAAACTATATAAAAAAATCTGTATAACATAATACAAATATAAATTAAATAAAAATAAAAAATGTAAAAAAAAAAAATACAAATCAATAAATAATGTAATGTATATCTACAAAAATCTATAAATAATCAATAAAAATT